TGCTGCAAGGAAGGGTATAATAGCTATCTGGATTTATCTCCATAATTATCCCTACCTTTCCACCTCCCATTTCTTCTATCTGTTGAAGTATATATGCATTTCATTTGTTACTAGTTTGGGATGGGCATCTTCTATATTGAATTCAATATCTTATTTACTTGTTTGCTTTTAAGAATTAACTTGAATTTATCAAAAGGGACAGATCACTTTCACCTAATATTAACAGGGGTGGAGGGGAGAAGGTCAACACAAATACTGGTAAGAATGTAAAATGGCACAACTATTTAGAGTGGGCGTTTAGGCAATCATATGTTGGGGTCCAACCCCAGCAGGTCCAGGGGTTCCCAAAGGTGTGGACGGAGTCGGCGAAGAAGGAATGACACAGAGACAGCGTTCAGTTGATCAGCATAGCCAGGTTCTCTAGCTAGGTTCTCCAGCCAGGTTCTAGCCAGGTTCTCCAGCCAGGTTCTGTTCTTATTCTCCTGTTACATCTGTATTTATACAAGTCGGTTTTTTTAAATATATTTTATTGATTTTTCACAGAGAGGAAGGGAGAGGGATAGAGAGTTAGAAACATCGATGAGAGAGGAACATCGATCAGGTGCCTCTTGCAGACCTCCTACTGGGGATGTGCCCGAAACCAAGGTACATGCCCTTGACCGGAATCAAACCTGGCCGACACTCTATCCACTGAGCCAAACCGGTTAGGCTATACCAGTTGATTTTAATCCTATCCATTCTATTCCAAAGGTTTCTTATCTCCTTTCCAAGGTCACTACTCTATTGTTCTTTTAAGCTACAAGGAAGTAACTGAAGGAGATTATCCTAAGTAAAGATTATGTAGCTTAAGCATGATTGTTCATAGTTAAAGTGATTAACTACCCACCTAGCACTTAGTTAAGGGGTTTTATTTCCTTCCTTAGTCCTGTTAATCCCTAACTCCAGGGAAAAATCCCCACCTGGGGAAACAACCTTTCTCGGAGAGGTGACCTTGGTTAAAACACATAGCGCTAAGAAGGGGAGCAAACATGTTAAGAACAGTATGCCATGTCCATTGAAACATATGCTGTGCAGATGTTTCTTCCCTGCAGCGACTGTGTCAAGTAGCAAGGATAGACCGGCTTCCGGCAAATTCCCCCATTTTTATTTTTTAAATGACAGTGCGTGTAAATCAGCGGCCACCTCTCGGATTGGGTTGTTTACGACTCGGAAGAAGACTGACAAGCAATGATAGCGAGTATAGCAATAAACATAGTGGATGGAGTGCACATGCAGCCTTGTAGAAGGTTGCTGGCCTCTTCAGTCAAGGATTTCAGCTGTCCCCAAGTTGGTGGTTTGGTTGTCCTCATTGATCTGGCTAGCAGGCGGCGGTGCTGGCGACGGGCTTCCCAAAGTGTCAGCGCATTGAATGGCTGGATCAAAGGGTCCATCAGGGCAGCGCTTGATGGTGGTGTCGGTGTCCGGGGAGGAGTCAGCTGTGTCCTCTGGGTCGGCCGATATGGATGATACCGGGGAAGAGGAGGGTGAGGCGGAGACGCAGGGCGGTGAGACATAAGGTTGGACTAGACGGTCTGGAATCCACACAGGTGAGTCTGCGTCCTGTGGAAATGTACAAGCATATCCTCTCCCCCAGGTTAAAAGTACATCAGGTCCCTTCCAGGCTCCTGTAAGCAAATCTCTCCATTTGACGAGGGCTTTAGGTTTAGTTAGATCAGGGTTCCAATGCCTGTACATCAGGGAATTTCCCTCAGAATCTACATTTAGTATATTAATTACAAATAGAGTATGTTGTAGAACATGATGAGGAGAGGAATATTTAAACTCATTTTCTTGTAATTTTTTAATTTGTGTTTTTAAAGTTTGGTGAGCCCTTTCTACTATTGCTTGGCCTTGAGGATTGTAAGGTATTCCTGTAGTATGTGCGATGCCGAATGTAGAGCATAAGTTTTTAAAAGCTCTAGAGGTATAGGCAGGCCCATTGTCTGTTTTAAGTGCCCTTGGTATTCCTAGGTAGGAAAAACATTGGAATAAATGTTGACTTACATCTTTAAAGGCTTCTCCTGTACGTGCAGAAGCAAGGATAACATGAGAAAAGGTATCAATACAAACATGCACATAGCAAAGTTTGCCAAAAGATGGGACATGAGTAATATCCATCTGCCATAAGTCACAGGGTCTAAGTCCTCTTGGATTAACTCCAGTAGCAGGGCTAGGAAAATGAGTAGGACAATGGCCGCAGTCACGCACAATACTTCGAGCAGCTTCTCTAGATATGCGATAATATAGACGGAGAGCAGAAGCATTTTGATGGTGAATGGCATGAGACCGCCGGGCTTCTTCTAGAGCTGTACAAACTACTGGGCGAGTTAGTAGATCCGCCTGATAATTTCCTTCGCTTAAGGGTCCTGGTAGGCAGGAATGAGCTCTAATATGTCCAATATAGAAAGCCTTTTCTCGTTTATGAATGTAAGTTTGTAGCTGAGTTAACAAAGAGAAAATGGCTGTTCTTCCTTGTGGGAGAGAGGCAGTCTCAATATGAGGAAATAATTTAACAATATATTGAGAGTCAGTGTACAAGTTAAAGGGAACCTGTTGCAATTGACTAAGATCCCCTGTAATGAGGTGGAGCTCCTTCCTAATATTAAACCTACAGTTCCCTCAGGCAGCAGCCCAGACACTCCTGTAGGAATGGCTGCTACCTGCGAGTCTGGGGTTAGTATTGCATGGGTGGTGTAATGGAGGTCTAATCCTGCACTGCCTGGGTGGCCCTGAAGAAGTCACTGACTGATTGAAATTTGCAAAGGGGTTGAGAGTTGATGCCCCTATTATTTCAGGGGTCTGGGGCTGGCCCCCTCTCAAGTTTCCTGATTGAGGTGATGGGATAGAACCTCCTTGGGAGCGGTTTGTAGAGTTTAAAGGCTGACCATTTTTATGGTATTTTGATCTACATTCCTTTGCCCAATGGAATCCTTTCTGACATCGGGGACAAACAGTTTTTGGAGGATTAATATTATTCCCTGATGTATTTCCAGGCTGTTGAGGAGCTCGCCATCTGGCCTGGGTATTATTATTTTTAGTTGGGCATTCTCTGCTGAAGTGCCCAGGTTGGCCATTCTCTGCTGTGCCCAGGTTGGCCACAAGAGTAGCAGTTCATATTTCTTTTATTACCTGTATTATTGCTGGCTTGTCCTATGCCCTGTAGTACTTGAGGGTATGTCTCCCCTTTGAGAGCTGCAGCTATAGCTACACCCTGTATAAATGCTGGACTTACATCAGCACACTGTTTTATAAAATCATTTATAGTTCCCGTTCTGCGAAT